ATATATATATATATATATATATATATATATATATTTATTAATCCTTCTTATTAATGAAAATATTTTTTTATTTATAAATTTATATTCATCCTCTTATTCTAATAAAGTGAAACTTTGATGGTAGTTAAAATTTTAATTGAGTTTAAGAACATAATTCAATATTTATTTGATTTAAAGTTGGATACAATACATTTTAAAAAATCAACTTTGAATGGTTAATAATAATTTCAACATGTGCCAAAATTAAATTTACCCACGAAGTTTACATTGAAATTACATGCATAATGAAATAAATTGATCTAAGAATTAAAACAAATAGTCTATTATTTTTTATCTCATTTATTATATTTTATTATCAAATCAGAATTCATTGACACTAGATGTAAGTTTTTAAGTGTAAGTTTATAAACTTACACATAATCTTATTCATTTAATAATTTTTTTATAATACAAATTTGATCAATTTAATGTTGCATTATATGATATTATACTCAAGATCATATATAACAAAACTCATATGATTTTGAACTTTTTTAAATATATTATGCAAAAACAAATATTTATACATATTTTAAATGTCATATTATATATTAAAATAAAATAATGTGATTAAATAATAAAATAATTATGAAATTATGTAAAATTTGATATACATAATATTAAATATAATATTATATAATTCAATGGTTAGATCAGTTAAATATATATTATAGAATAATTTATTAAAAATATAAAATTTGGTATAAATTTTTAAGGTCAATGAATTCTCACTCATTATTTATTATATTTATATTTTTTTAGTTTAGTATATACGTGTAACATACGATGTAAAATGTGTTTGAAAAAAAATTATTAGGAGATTTCAATTGTGTTTTATAGTAAAAAAATTGTTTGTAAAATAAATTACATGGTACATAACATAATTATTACATATACTCTTCTTGAAATAATATAATTTTCATGGCTTTTTTTCTGTACTGTTCATATATTTTTATTTCTAAATGTGTAATATATTAATTTTTATTGTAGTGATTACGACAATTATTTTATCATGAAAGAGAATCATTAGTAATATAATAGTATTTACAAAATTTTATATTTAAACTATGACATTATTATTATAATTTTGATAAATAGAAAAGATATGAAAGAGATTTGTGTCACTAAATTAGCTAAGCAATGACTAAAACAAGGGAAAAAAAGCATGCAAGTTTTGTGTGCAACATTTTTAAAAAGTAAATGTAAAAGTATAAAGAATTAAATTAGTGGTACGCATTCAGTCACTTTTTATAAAATAAAAAATTTACGCATTTTGAAAATAAATACCAGAAGTCGACGTTATAAGAAAAATACAGTGAGGCAAGAAAGCAAGACGTCAGCATCGAAATATTGTCACAATTTGTTCCGCTGTCATTGTAGGCTTCCTTGCCGAGTTTCTCCAAAAATGAAAAATTCAACCAACTATGCCATACTACGATACTCTCATAGTCTCACCCTCACCCCATGTATTCGTCGGTTGTCGCTTTCACACATATAAAAGTCTTTCCCTTTTTTATTTTTATTTTTTATATTTATTTCATTTTTGGACTTATATTCATCTTTCACTCACCTTATACGCTATGAGAGAATTAAAGCTGGTATTGGGCCATGGCAATCCACATTTCACACCCACCTTTTATTCTTTCTCTCTCCTTTTCTTCTTCTTCTTTACTTCTGCACTAATATATCATTTTCCCCACCCCCCATTTCCTGCTTGCCAGTTCAGGAAAAGAAAGGAGTCTCCTTTCCAACTTCTCTGGTATGTATGTATGTCTGTCTGTCTGTCTGTCATTCTCATCCCCACTTCCATTCTTCTTTCCTTTTTTGTCATTCTGGGAAAACCCATTTGCATTTTGCTATTCGGGTTGCTCGTTTCGGAACTACTTGTTCATCCATGTTTTTCATCTTCTGTTTTTCTAGATCACAGTATGAGATTTTGGTGGCTCTTTGAACTTGCAGTGTGATTGTTTGAACTTTGAAGCAATTAAGCATATTCATTTTCTTATTGCCTTTGGTAGATCATGATATGAGTTTGTTTTTAATTTCTCTTAATAGTTTCGTGTGACTTGGCTGTTATTGCTGGGAAGACAAAGAGAGTTGCTTTTTGGGTCTCAATTCTAATAGCATATCCTATATTCATTGCTATATTTAGCTTCAATTGTGCAATTTACTGTGATCCAGTTTGAATGCTTATGCTTTTATGATCATAATGTGATTGCTGATACGATGGTATATTTGTAACATAATCTTTCATGGGTTGCACATAATATACATGGACTTGATTACAAACATGGTACAAAAGAGCATTCCCTTATTAGGCTTTAAAAGCATGTTTTCCTACGGAGTGTATAACTGTCTGAGGCTTTCATTTTTCTTCTTATTCTTCTGGTTGTTCTGCATGGATCTCTTATAGTTAAGACCAATGAACTTAATCTGTATTGGTGGAGAGTGAGATGCTAATGCTGGTTATATTTTTAAAAATATTCTCAGGGCTATGTTATTTTGAAAGAAGTTACTTCGCAACGAGAATGGGTTCTGGTGATTGGTTTAAGACAATAATTAGCTTAAGAAAATCTAAAGACGGCAGATCAAAGAAAGCAAAGGTACAATGCACTGCCTGTTATTTTTAGTTTATTTACCTAATCTTGCACGGGTTAAATTGCATAAATGTCAAACTGTTGATCACTTGATTGTAAACCTTTATATCTCCATTATTCTCCTAAAAACTGAATTAATCTTTGAATTTTGGTGGTCCTTTATCTTAAATTCTTAATCATATGATAAATTAGTAAGCCTTTTTGTAACTACAGTTCTCATCTTCTATAAAGGATAAAACTCTGGTATGTTGGCTCTAGACCAGATTAGGATTTATTTGGAACAGCTTATTGATGACTTATTTGAACTTATGACATAAGCACTTGTGTAACTATTTGGAAGAGCTTAAGAAAATAACTTGTGATTTTTCAATAAGAACGTCTTTAGCTTATTTCAATAACATCTCTAGGATAGCTTATGAAAACAGTATACATGAAAACAATTAAACCTTATTCCTTCTTCGTTTATAAAAAAAAATAAAAAACCTTATATGTAAGTGCCTGAATGATAAGTATCTAGTAAGTGTTTGATTAAGCTGTTTACCCAAACAAATTGAAAGGACCGACATATTGTCGAGTACTTTGTGCCATAAATTGAAGAGCAAAGTTAGTTTAGAAGCCTTCTATAAACTATAAGGAGATTCAAGATTTCTGACTGCTATATGCCTCTAAACTGATGTCATTATTTTTTAAACAGGACTATAGAAGGTAAAATTTTATCTGAGTTTGGATTGATAATGCATGAGGCATGGTTGATGTTGTTTGTTACAACTTAATTACGTTATTTATCATTTAGGCTGCAGAAAGCTAGAAACACCATTTATTTATTACTTAGAATTTATTTTGCCCGACCTCCATTGTAACCAGAATGTTTCTAATTTTCTATCTCTATCTGGTCACATTTTGAGACAGGGTATCTTAGCTCAAGAGAAACTAAATGCATCAAAGTCAAGCAATTATAAAGGAAAAGAGAATAGTGGTTTAGCAAATGGTATTACAAGCAAAAACCTGGTGTCAGCTGGGGTGTCAGTTGAAACTATTGCTGCAACAAGGATCCAGACTGCATTTCGAGCTTATAAGGTGTGTTGAGTTGAAAAATTTGTCGGAAAGATTATGATAGTACATGATAACTCTAGTCTGACTGTTTTGATTGGCTATGTCCTAAGAAATCATACTTTTGATTATATATTTCATTATTCCACTGTAAATGTCTGTCTATGTACTGTTGTATTGTTAGTGCTGGCATGCCAGCATTCTGATTGCATTTTAGAGGGGTATATGATTGCTGAGTTTTTGTTTATAGAAAAAGCAGATTATTGCTGAGTGTACATGATACAGTGGAATTAAATTATAATGTTTGCACACACATATAATTCAAGATAATATATCTACTGTATTGGTTGATGGGGCAACGTTCTAAATTTTATGAATTAAGTGATGAAATGTAATTCGACTAATACATTAGAATTGCCAAGGGTGCAATTGACCCTTTTTTTTCACCATTTCATGAAACTAATATATTCACAATTACAGGATTAGCAGCTCAAATACAGATATTCTTTCTGATATTGTTATGTCAAAGTGGATTTTTAGATTCTTTTATTGTTTATGAGCAAGAGTGATATTTTAATCTCTCTATGTGACACCTTTTCCCTGTTGATTAATTATAATTGGATGCTATAATTCTTCAAGGCAAACCTGAATTGCTAAATCTTTGACTATTATTTTAAATGCTGCCTTTTATTTAAGACTCATTTCTGCTTGTCAACAATGTGATTTATTCACTACTAACAAAATTAACAGAATTGACTGCTTTAGAGAAAAATCATACAGTATGTATTGACTCTTGATTACTGTCTTAATATGCATGTTATTGATGATTATAGCTGAGATGTGTAGATTTAGGTTTATCATTTATGTTATTTATTAAAGTTCAAACCTGTGTTGATATCTTTGGCTGGTATTTATTTTGCAACTCTGACTTTTAAACTGTGCAGGCTAGAAAAGTTTTGCGTCGCATGAAAGGGTTTACAAAACTGAAGATCCTAACAGAAGGCTTCTCTGCTAAAAAGCAAGCCAGTACGGCCATAACATACCTTCATTCATGGAGCAAGATACAGGCTGAGATTAGAGCTCGCCGAATCTGTATGGTAACAGAAGACAGGATCAGGAGGAAGAAGCTAGAGTCCCAACTAAAATTGGAGGCAAAACTTCATGATCTGGAGGTAATCTTTAGCATGCCCTAATTTTCTTTAAGTTTGTTTCAGCCTTAAAATTTAAAGATATTTTCTTCCAATGCTACCTCTCTAACTGAATCTGCATTTGCATTATTAGATGAGGACCCAAATGTTGTGTTTTAGTTATCTTGAACCTTGGTTTTGGTTTTAAAGTGGTTAGCTAATCTTTCATACTATGATAGAATTATTAGATGCATTTCTAATTTTCTAGGAATTTTTTTGTCAGACTTTTCTATTCTTTATAGTTATAAGTTTATTTTCATAGCAAAATATGCATAAAACATTTGTACTCAATAAAAATCAATTCTGGAGATTACTGCTTGAAACTTTCTATCATTGAATAGTTCAGACTTGTCAAATATTTCACTAGATACACAACCTTGTCCGAACTCAATCCAGTTAATCTTGTTCTGAGCACTAGGCATCATAAATTACAGGTTGAATGGTGTGGTGGTTCTGAAACCATGGAAGAAATCGTTGGAAGGATACATCAGAGGGAAGAAGCAGCAGTTAAGCGTGAAAGAGCCATGGCATATGCCTTTTCTCATCAGGTAGGTTAGTTAGTGTTGGCAATGTCTCAATATCTTGTTTCACCTGATCCTACAGATAATCACATGCATATCTTATGAATCACAATAGTGGAGGGCCAACTCTAGTCAGAGCCAACTGCTCGGTGATTATGAACTTAGCAAAGCTAATTGGGGTTGGAGCTGGAAGGAGCGCTGGATCGCTGCTCGCCCATGGGAAAGCCGTGTCCCCAGCTTACCCGTGAACCCGAAGAAAGCTCAGCATAAGCAGTCAAGCAAGGTTCAGAAGGATAAGAACACACCAACACCAACACCTAAAACTCCTGTCTCAGTTAAACCTCTTTCTGCCAATACAAAAGGGACTCCTCCTTCTGCCAATGCAAAAGGGGCTTCAAAGGCTAGGAGATTGTCTTATCCACCAACTGAGATAACTGCGGTTCAAGAGGAAGTGCATTGAGTCCTCAGCATGGTTGCTAAGGTAGAACACTATTTTAAGTATCAAGCTTTTTTGATAAGTTGAGTCGAGCTGAATCAAATTGATTTTCAATTGGATACAGTCCATAAAAAGGGAACTAAGAAGCCAAGTTATTTATTTATCGGATTGCTTCCAATTTGTGAATATGAGCGTGACTGAAATTCAAACCACTGCAGAGAGTTTGTCAACAGACCTGCTTCTGCTTGTGGGTGTGATTTGTTGATTGCTTCTGTTTATTATCCTTTTCAATCTTGTATATTCAACGAAGAGACAAATTGTAGATAGAAATAGAACAATATCTATATTTTTTGTCCATCTCTGTTGTAATAGAAAATTTCCACGTGATCATGTTGTTGACTTCGTCATGGTTTATTCTTACCACATTGAGATGGCTTGTGCTACTTGCTTATGTTTCTGATCCATTTATATGTTACGCAAACCTTATTAGTATTTTATAATAGATATTTACTGACAAATCACATGTAATCCCACTACTTGAATAATTTCATTTACATGCTTTGAAACTTTCTACAAAATATGCAACTTGTACTATTTGGATATTAAACAACAAAAGCTTTGAATGTTTACTAAACTATCCGCAGCTTTAAGAAAAATAAAATGAATTTCTAGTTAAAATTAACTAATACATATATTTAAAGAGATATTTTTGGAAAAGTTAATATAGTTTTTACAAATTAGTTTATATATAAAATAATTTTAACTTTTGAAAAAAAATTCTATTAGTGTTTAAGAAAAGAAAAAATATTCAAACAAATCCTATTTATAAAATGAGTGGCTTACAATTATGGCAATGGCATATATGGATCGAGAAATACTTAAATGTTTAAATTGTGTGAGAAAGTGATAAAAGATATATCTATTTACCTTAGGAATAAGTTTATTAAACTTACTTTACTCAATAACTCATGTTTTACATCAAATTTTAACAGTCTAACTATTGAATTTAAAATTTTTAATATATAGATTAAGTTTGCAATTTTTTTTAAAAATTTGAAAATCATTTAATACTTCATTTCATTAATTCAAATTGTCCGATAATCATAAAATTATTATATATATTAATTTGAATTAATAAAACAAAGTATCAAATAATTTTAAAATTTACAAATTTAATCTATGTATTAAGAACTTTAAATTTAACTGTTAAATTATTAAAATTTAATATAAAACATAAGTTATTGAACGAAATAAGTTTAGGTAGACTTTCTCCTAAATGAATACCTTCTTTTGTTGAGGATTAAAATAAAATAAAATACTTAGTTAATGATTAAATAAGTGTAGAAGACCTATATGATAGTGGAGGGAGTACCTAATCCTAATTAGTTGGAGTAGGGCGGAGGTGATTAATTATGATTGGCAATTGTCAACACCTATCCTATCCTACTTGCAATTTCAATGCAGCATCTGTCACTATCTCAATGTCCAACTAAGGAGGGAATATATTATATCATCTGTCAAACTACCCCGATCTAATTGCCTTTATTTTTATTATTTTTTTCAGTTAACTTTTTTATTTATTTATTTATTTTGAACAGCATATAATTCAAATTTTGTTGAGAGGGCTCTAAAAAAATCTCCAAAAAGTAAGCCTACCCTACATAAAGTCATTGCATGCCAATATGACCATTTATTATAATTATTTTCTGGAATCACTTTTCTTCAATCCGAATTTAGCAATAATTAAAAAAATTAAACACTAATCCCAAATTGACTTGGTTTCTTTTGTGCCTAAAAATTTACTGGTCTGGCTTGAACGTTTAACTCACCCGGTTGGGCCAAAATAACCAAGTTCTTTTTGGACTTCTAATTTGATAATTTGGACTGACATTGAGCCCAATCATTTTTTTACTGTCATGGAGTTAAATAATTTTGGTTAAAACCCTTATTTGGTCTCTTATAATATATATATATATTTTAATTTAGTCTCACTTTAATTTTTAGTTTTAATTTGGTCCCCAATAATTTAAATTATTACAATTTGAGACTTCTGTCCCCAATAATTTAAATTATTACAATTTGAGACTTCCGTGCACGATTTACAACCATGAACTAAAATTATCGACCATTCAAGAACCAGAACGGGCCAATCTAGTTCCAGGTGTATTCAAGAAATTTGGCATCATCTACGTGGCATCCACCTGGCATTCACGTGGCCAAGAGTTAACTCTGTTTAAATCATTTGGACGGAAGTCCCAAATTGTAATAATTTAAATTATTGGGGACCAAATTGAAACCAAAAATTAAAGTGAGACTAAATTGAAATAAAAAAATATTATCAGGGACCAAATAAGGGTTTTAACCAATAATTTTCTTACTTTTAGAATGTATTTATTTAGTATAGGAAAAGTTTTTATTTTCTCGACAATTTGATGTCAAAAATATTAGTTTATCACGTTTAATTTGTTATTTAAAAAAAATAGTATTTTTAAGAAACATAATTTCTCAAGAATGATTTTTACATAAATTTCTTATGAAATTATTCCCATAAGAAATGTCAGAAATTAATTTTTTTGAAGTAAAAATAAAATTTTAATGGGATAAAAATATTATGTTATCTTTATTTATTTATTTAATACAGTAAATTTTTTTGATTCTCATGTGATATTTATAAACATTTTACCAACAAAACAGAACATGATTTCCAGTATTTATGATTCTACCGGTAAAATTAAGTGAAAGAGATTGTTAACTTAATTGAATAGAAAAATTCTTATTAAGATGGTAAATAAGCAATTTACTTAATTTTACAAAAATATTTAATTCTTAGCTTTGTTAAACGTCATTTATCTTAATTCTCAATGTCAGTGAAATGTAATAAAAATTAAAATAAATGGCGTTTTACAAAATTAAATATGAAAGTGATAATTTTATATTTTTATAAAATGATCAATATTGTATTTTTGCTAGAGTTCCAAATAGCTATAGAATAGGGCGTACATTTCCTATAAAATGAAACACCGCACCTCCTTTTTCTTTTTTGTTTTTTGTCTGGTTCAATGAACATTCCAATTTTTCTTTTCTCTTGTGCCCATTTCATACGGCAAATTTTATTCGTGCAATATAACAGATGCCAATGACAGATTTTGGCTTCATTTAGATAAATAGTTTAATCAAACACGTGCATATTATATAAGTTATTTTTATAACAAAAAAAATTAAAATTAAACTGTTTTCATAGAAGTTATAAGTAATTTTTATAGGTATAAACAACTTATAAATATATCATAATATTTTCATAGACTTTCCTAAATACTTAAAAGAAGTGTTTATGTCATGAAATAAATCCAAATAAATAAGCTCATCCTAAGACACTCTTTCTCACAAA